TAAAAAAAAAAAAAAAAAAAAAGAAGAAAAAATGTCGGTGTTAATTATTCTATCTATATAACACACATACAAAAACACACTCACTGCCAGTCAAAGCCTGCTTCTATAGGAAATTGTATTTAAGTTATTTTTTTTTTTTTTCACCCTTGATTCTATTATTTTTTTTCTTTTTTTTTTAAGTATCAAAAAAAAAAACCAATGCTTAATTCCTTTCATTTTTTTTCTCTTTTTTTTTTTTTTTTGTTTTAATTTTGTTTTAATTTTGTCTCATATCAACCACACAATTTCTTATTATTGTTATTCGTAATTTGTAATTTTTTTCCTCCTTTTTGTTTCTTTTTGTTTTCGGTTTTCGATTAAAAACTAAAAAGATGATATGGCAACAATAAGTGAAATGATGACGAACCTTTCTTCTACAAATCAAAGAGGCTGGAACTGAAATCGCCAAAGAGACGTTTGATTGAATTATGCCAAGAGTATGAATTAAAAAAAAAAAAAGAAAAAAACAGACATGGCGCTATTACAAAATAAATTAAAATAAAAAATGTGAAACGGACAACTTGAAAAAAAAAATTGTGTTGAGTATGAAAGATGAGAGAGAGAGAGAGAAAGAGATAGAGATAGGGACATACTACTACTACCGGTTTTAATGTAAGACGTATAAAATATGTGTCATAAGTATACACACAAAATATTCTAAATTACGTTTATACACATAGAAACAATTAAGATGGTTATTTATAATTATAAAAGTGATTTCTCTACGAGTCTGATAGAACAATATAAAAATTAATATCGTAAATGAAGTATATAGTAAAAATAAAAGAAGAAGAAGAAGAAGATGATGATGATGATGAATGAAAAAAGATGATTAATTAAAATTACAAGCTTAAAATAAACCTTAGAATATTTAAATGAGTGAGTTTTACATAAGAGAACAACAAAAAATTCTAAAATATGTTTACGTTAGATGGTGCACCATGCTAAAAAATAAAATAAAATAAAATAAAAGAGATGTGTGTATGATGAAAGTTATTATGTAAAAGAGGGGACATTGTGTGCGCCAAAAAAAAAGAAAGAAATAAAACTAATCGATGATAAATAACAACACCGAGCCCCACCACCCAAAGAAAGAAAAACCATACACACTTATACAACACACATCACACATACCAACATTATACATACATTAAACACAATACAAAAAACAAATATACGTTTGCACTCTCTCAAACAATGTTATTTACAATTTACAGTCTAACAATATACAACAGATGATTGACGCACTTATTTAAACATTTAACAACAATAACAAAAAACATAAAATAATGTTTAAACGTGTACTTAAGTAACAGAAAATAAAATAAAATAAAATACAATAAAATACAAATTTTTTTTCATATTAATTAGTAAAGAAACGAAAATGGAAAGAAGAAAGACAAGGGATAGCAAATTCTTGACAAAGTTGAAAACAAATGAAGGGAAACGGAGTGGGGGAAGATTGCGTTAGCGAATTGGGGAAAGAAGTAGAAGAAGAGTGGGGAGTTGCGTTAGCGAATTGGGAAAGAAGTAGAAGAAGAGTGGGGAGTTGCGTTAGCGAATTGGGGAAAGAAGTAAAAGAAGAGTGGGGGTTGCGTTAGCGAATTGGGAAGAAGTAGACGACGAGTGGGGGGTTGCATTAACGAATTGGAAAGAAGAAGAAAGGGGTGGAGATTAGGGAATGTGTTTAACAAATATAAAATCGTATCTAATTGTTTATAACGGGGTGTAAAAGTTAATTGAAAGTTTTGCAACGTGAGAGAGAGAGTTAAAGAGAGAGAGAGAGCCACTAAAATAAAATTTTCATTTTAATATAAAAAAAAGATAAGATAAGATAAGGGAAAATATGCTATCTTAATTTTGTTAGTTAAAAGTGTGTGATCAGGAAGATTATGGAATGGGGTTTTTTTTTTAAATGATAGTTGATGGGGAATTCCTACAGTTGGAATGCATTCATTATAATAATATCTCGCATGAAATAATAAGAATAATCTATCTTACTAATACTACTTTTATCATGTTTTTTAGTGTCAAGTATATAAGATTAAATAAACGTAAAGAGTCGAATTAAATTAATTATAATAATGATAAAGAAAGAAAAAGAAAGAAAGAAAGAATGAAATTATTAACTGTAATAACACACATGACCTATATAATATATTTATAAACATTTAGCGTTGTATTGGTAAGATCCGTATGCCCCCCCTACGAGATAAATTATACAAGAAATAAATAAATAAATAAATAAAAACATTAATAATACACAAAACAAAAGTGAAATTAGTTTGTAGACTGATTGAACATAGGTAAATGAAAGTTTAATGATTTTAAATAAGTTATATATATATATAATAATAATAATCGTGATTTTGAAGGGAATGGTTAATAAAATGAAAAAAAAATAAAATAAAATAAAAACAGTGGGGGTGTTTATGTATACCATATATCACACCATTACCATCGTTCCACCATAATACATTTCCCATTCGTTTCAAAATAATGATATAACACTACAATGATAAACGAAGATATGAAAATGAATGATAAGTAAAAAAATCCAAATAAGTATAATAATAATAATAATAATAATAATAATA